CGTGTACCCAGCAGCACCTCTCCTGTCCCTGTCTGCAGCGCTGGTGGGGCCCTGTCTGCTCCTGTACACCTGGGGTGTCTGCAGGTTGTGCCTATGCTGCTGATGTGTGAGTCAGCCAGGATCATCTTTAAAACCTCCTGACACCACACTGGGCCCCATTTTTATGTCATGTGGCTGTTCTGGCTTTGGTTGAGTGGGGCAACAGCCACAACCAGGCACTGTCACCAAAAGGCAGGCCATTTTTAATGGGCTAATGAGAAAATGCTATCGTTTCATGAATGATTGGCCCAAACCCTCTAAATCAAGCAGTGCCCTGGACAGACACTTGGCCTCTTGTATTCATGTCACATTCCAAGGCAGCCAAGTGGTACGGTACAGAGACGTGGCTTCTCTCTCCAGGCACGTGGCTCCTCTGGTGGTCAGAGCCGTAGCTGCAGAGCTCTCAGCCCTGGGTGGTGATGGTGGTGGTGATGGCAAACTGGGGTCACGTCCGTAAGACAAGACTGGCACCCTCCACTTCCTGGGGGCACCCCCACACCCCTCCCCTTCCCAGCAGTGTTTAGTGTTTGCTGCCATGACAAACGGAAGAGCAGGATTGCCCAACCCCAAGCAGCTGAGCAATGCTGGGTGCCCAGGAGACAAGCCCTGGCCTCGTGTTTCTGCGCCTACACACCATGTGACCTCCCCTTGGGGCTGCAAGACCAGGTCACATCCTAGGCTGTCCGGGTTCTGCGAGCTTTCTGTTTTTACATGTTGGAAGTCAGGTGAACGTAAACATCAGGTCATGGTGGGCTCCAGAGTGCAAAGAGCACAAAGCGGGTTGGGGGGAGTGAGTGGAGTTGGGAGAAGGCAAGTCCCAGTGGAGGGTCCTGCAGGGACCTCAGGCTGGCCCTATAGAGAAGAGCCCAAATCTTTGTTGACATCCAGCTACCACAGCCACCTCCTTCTATACGGTTCCTTAGAAGGAAAACGAGACGCCTCCAGATATGCTCAATTTTCCAGGCCCTAAGGAGGGGTAGGGGTGGGATGCTGGGGTGCTGTGGGCTGACTGGAAGAACACAGCAGGTCTTGCTCCTGCAGGCGCCTGGGAAAAGACGGAGGTGGCACACCTTGTGTCATCTCCTGGAGGTTGAGCTGGCCTTGTTTTTGTTTACTGCTGTCAGCATGTGCATGAAGCTGTTTGTGAGTCAGTTGTAACAGATACAGAACATACGAGCGTCTGAGCCTTTCCCTATTGTTTTGTTTCCTGCTGCCCAGGTGGGAAGTAATGACTTGACCATTGTTAACCTTCACCTGGCAACACTGACCCTCCCAGGGGGAGAGAATCCAAGCAAGAATCATGGTGACAGCCACCGGATGGTGAGCTTTGCCCAGACCCTGCAGGAAACCCTGAAAGGTAGGACATTGTCTTTCTCCGTGGCCTGGCCACACTTCTGCCTCTTCCCAGCGTCACTCTGACCACTGAGGCTGCCTGTTGTCAGCAACTCATGTCATGGGTACAGGGGACAGTCAGGNCCCCCCCCCGCATAACATGGAGCCTGGCAACCCCATGCATGGTCACATCTTTGTCTCTGTGGCCCCTGCCTGTGGGTTCCAAGGTATTGGCTTTGTGGCTTTTGAACCTCTATTGGATGGAAAGGATTAGGGGAAACATAAGTGATGATGTCCTTCCCCCATGACAGCTTGTCCTAGGTCCAGCTGCCTGGGTACCACTCTGGTTGTGCCACCTGCAGATTTGCACTTGCCTTTCTTGTGAAAGAGGGACAGGAGGTGACGAGGGGAGATGGTACACTTACGATTGTGGCAAATTGAGTTTTCCCCTGTGGGATGCAGGTCGTGCTGGGGGAGACTGGAGCCTGTGAGAGAGCTGGACTTTACTCTGGGCCCCTTTAGTAACCGCAGGACCTCAGCGCTTCAAGCCCCTTTTGATGGGAGAACGGATGATATTTACCCCCATAGGAGTACCCGGAGGGCCAGGTGCCAAGCACATAGTAGGGACTCTGTGTGTGTGAGCTGACGCTAAGATACAGAAGGATCGAGAGAGCGCCGGAGAGAGCAGAGCCTCAGGGGAGAGGGGGGCTCTGTTTTCTGGGCTCTGCCGCCAGGTAGTACAGAAGGTTTTCTGTGCTTGGTTTACCAGAAAGAAAAGTTGACAAGGCTGTAAAGACTGTGATGTTTTCAGGACAGCGAGCTTCTCTGGGTGAGAGTTTGCAGCTGGAGGCCGAGATTCTCTTCTGTAGTCTTGAGTCTTGACCAGTATTCTTTTGCTTTCTAAGACTTTTCCTTGTTAGATTGGCCCTCACAATGGGTGACTCATGAAGATTTGGCTACAGAAATATTTCAAACTATAGGCTTACGTTGAAAAAGATTCTTTACTGTAGTAAAATATACAGAACATAAATTTACCATTTTCATCATTTTTAAGTGTACACTTCAGTGGCATTCAGTATATTCACACTGTTGTGTGACCGTCACCGTCATCCATTACCAGAACTTTCCATCTTCCCAAACAGACTGTGCCCATTAA